CCCGCCGCAGGCCGTCCGCCACCGGGGGCCCAGGGCTCAGAAAGCCGGCGGCCCGCGTCCATCAGGCCACCTCGGAACGGCCTCCCGGCCGCGCGGGAGCGGCTCCCTTCTCAGCAGAAGCCGGCGGGGCCCGGCCCTCGGTACCCGCTCCTTCCTTCCCTTCCCGACGGACGGCCAAACAGCCCCTCCTCCCGGGCTCCCCCGCTCCCCTCCGGTCGGAGCAGGAATATTCCCCCCGCAGACTCCCTGCTCTCACCCATGGAGAATCCTCCTCCTCTCTCTCCTCACGCCCTGCGCACGGCCGCCTGAGGCCTAACGCCGCTCGGTCGGGACACTCGCAGCGCCGCTCCGCTCGCCCTCGCCAGCCGGCACCACTTCCGGGCGAGCCCACGCCCCCTCCTCTGAGAAATGCCACTTCCCACCCGAAAACGGCTGGATGAGCCCTAAGCGCATGCGCCCCAACGCAGGGTTTGAGGTGGGTGGAGCTCTCTCTTCCCGCTCTAGCCGCCGGGCGCCTGCTCAGCAGTCTCGCGATATTTCCTTCTCCCGCGGGAGTTATTTAAACGCTCTGGCGGCAACCACGCCCTCCGCGGCGCGCGCTGGGGAGTCGCAGTGGACTCGGGGAATTTGGTTTGAGGTCCCACGGTCCCGCTGCGGCCGAGCTCCCGCAGGGCGAGTCCCCGCCGGGTCGCGCCATCATGGGGGCAGAGAAGAGGCTGCTGCCCATTAAGGAGGCCTTCCAGCTGGCGCAGCAGCCGCACCAGAACCAGGCGAAGCTGGTGGTGGCGCTGAGCCGTACCTACCGCACGGTAAGCGCGCCCGACCCCGAGGGCCCTGGCCGCCGCTGTCCCTCGCCCTCCCGTGACCCTCCGGACTCAGCGCACCGCGCCTCCAACCTCCTGCAAAGCCTCCGGTCGTGGCTGCGTGCGGGACGTCGCCGGGCGGAACCCCCGTCCCCGGCGGCCTCGGCGCGGGCCGTTGTGCTCCGTAGGCGGTGAGGTGGAAGAGAAACGCGGGCTCCGAGGCCACCGGCCGCAGGCGCTGGGCCTCAGGGTGGGTGCCCACTGCTGTGGCCCAGGGGTGGTTGTCCCTCAGGTCACCGCCGACGCCAGTCACCCCGTGCTAACCTCTCCCCGCGGCTAAATGGAATCAGATCCCCAAATAGCAAATTAGTTGTTAGGATCTGGCTCTTCCTGTTCATGTAAATACTGTTTGTTTTGAGCGGAGCCGTGAGAAGAAGGGGACAGTGAATTCTGGGAAAATAAACTATTGGGGGGGGTTGAAGAAAAAGTCAATGTAATAGGCCTTGAAGATATGAAATAGGTGTGGAAGTTATATCAAAAGGAAGTTTCTGTGCAACAGTAAGACTACGTATAAAATATTAAAGCCGCTGTTAATCTTGGGTTCGTGAAGCAAGTTTTTACAAAACTGGTACCAAGGCATATTGAGGATTTAGGGATATTGGGGGCAAAAAGGAATCCTTTCATTGTCAAAATGCACGATTAAGGTTTCTCCCTGGCAGAAGTCAATTTCTCTGGAGAGAAACTCGTGCAAATTTATTTCCCTTTTGATGGTTTGGGTAATTCAGAGTTTACCAAGTAGTGACTTCAGTGTGTCTGGGTTATTGCTCAGGCTTTCCGCAGTCGTAGGGTAAAGCTGGGGAAATAGGGTTGTATCAGCGCAGCTTGCGAAGGGTTTCTTTTGTCTTTCAGACAGAAGATAAAGTAAGTTTTCACGAGGAGTTCGTTCATCACCTTAAGTATGCGATGGTGGTGTATAAACGCGAGCCGGTCGTGGAGAGGGTGATCGAGTTTGCAGCGAAGTTTGTTACCTCGTTTCACCAGTCAGATGTGGAAGATGATGAAGAGGAAGACACAGGCCTTTTAAATTACTTGTGTACTTTCCTATTAAAGGTATTATGAAAACCAGCACTTTGGGGAAGTAATCGTAGAAAATTTTGTTATATGAAACGGGCCGTGGGAGTTTGTATTTTTTAGAGACTTGAAATATCTGGTCAATGAGAAAATGCCTGTGAACGAGTCTGCTTTTTGTAGGAAATATTAGAACTCTTGTTAGATGAAAAGGTGGACTTTTAAAAGATAACTTTTTAATTTTATTTTATTGGGGTGACACTGGTTAAAAATATACAGGTTTCAGGTGCACAATTCTACAACACATCCTGCGTACTCTGTATTGTGGGTGTTCACCACCCCAAGTCAAGTCTCTGTCCATCACCCTTTTTCCCCCATACCCTGTAACAGGTCGACTTCTAAAATAACACCAGCGTTAAATTTTTATTGACCCCTCTAAAGCTCTTCTCCCATACATTTGTTTTAAATGAGTTCTCTATTTTAGCAGTAAAGGAAGAGTTCCTGCAAAGAGGAATATACTCTTGTAATTAAGCAAATACTTCAGACTGTATATTTTGAGAATTTATATAATGTATTTTTAGGATGCATGTGAATCAAGGTAGCATAGTTTTTCTGCAAGAATGAATTACTGTTGTAATTTCTTGAATTCTAAACGTACAGAATTCAATGATATGTGATTATTTACTAATGATATGTGACTAAATTTTGATTGTTTCCATTTCAGTCTCATGAAGCAAACAGCAATGCAGTTAGATTTAGAGTGTGCCAGCTCATAAACAAGCTCTTGGGAAACATGCCAGAAAATGCTCAGATTGATGATGATTTGTTTGATAAGATTAATGAAGCCATGCTTATTAGATTGAAAGATAAAATTCCAAATGTGAGGTTACAGGCAGTTCTGGCTCTTTCACGACTTCAGGATCCCAAAGATGATGAATGCCCAGTGGCTAATGGTATGTGTAGTTACAAAAATCCTTTTTCAGTTTTGTTGACTTTTAAGTTACAAATAGATGAATTTTTTATTTAGAACTACGTATATGTGAAGGTATATACATATGTATATATATGATTAAAAAAAACAAACCCAAGGAGATACAATCCAACTTAAAAAATAGAGCATCATTAGTAACTTTGGAAGCTAACTTATAGCCCCACCCCAGTTACATCACTCTCAGAGATAATGATTATCCTGAATTTTGGATTTATTCTCCTGTCTTTTTGTTTAAACAATTAACTAGATGTGTGTCTCTAAATAATGTTAAGCTTTGCCTCTAATTTTGTATGCTCTGTGTGTTATACTATATTTTTCTGTGTTCTCAACATTATTTTTAATTGTAACATTCACCCATGTTGATCTGTTTATTTACTATTTTATAGAATTCTGTAGTATGAACATAAAACAGCTTATTATTTCTAATACTGATGGACCTTCTAGTTGTCTTCAGTTATTTTGCTTTTGAAAAACTGTTGTTTCTATGAACTTACACATGGTTTCTAGTGGACAGGTTAGAGTTTTTCTAGGGTATATATGTGCACTCAGCTTTACTAGTTAGATACAAGTGTTTTTTAGAAAGTTTACCAGTTAATATTCACAATAAAAGTGCATAGAAGTCTTCAGTGATCCATATTCTTTTTAATGTTTGGTATTGTCAGATTTACAATTCTTTGCTTATTTGTTATGTATCTTTTTGGGTATTTAGCAGCCAATATTATTTCTTCTATTATATGAGGCCTGTTAATGTGTTCTACCCATTTTTCTGTTGGTTCATCTTACTGATTTATTGGAATTCCTTATACTGCAAAGAAATCCTTAGGTTATGTGAAGAGTAGTTCTCTCGCTACTTTAGATGACTTACTTCTTTTTAGAACTCATTAAAAATCAGAATAGTAACGAGCCCTAAATAAAACCATATCAGTTTAAAAGTAAACTGCTTGCTATATTAGACATTCTTCTAAATCTTGAAGAGTAGCAGAGACATAATCTTAATGACGAATTTTCCATAATTTTTACGGCTATTTATTTTAGCTTTCATGCGCAGTCCATTGAGTAATTTCCCATTCTGTCCTTGTTAATGGAAGTTGGCAGAAGAAAATCTTCAGCTAGAATTAAATATGTAAGACTAGAAAGTGATATTTTTATCACTTTAAAGATACTATTAAATATCAAAATGTGTGCTATCTTATGATTATGGTTAAAGAAATATTTCTTTAATATACTAAAATATACTGTTCTATATTTAGCATATGCTACTTTGATTGAAAATGATTCAAATCCAGAAGTTAGGCGGGCAGTGCTGTCATGTATTGTACCATCAGCAAAGACTTTGTCAAAAATTGTAGGACGCACCAAGGACGTGAAAGAGGCTGTCAGAAAGCTGGCTTATCAGGTAAATGAGTTCAATATTTTGTGTAGGCATATCCTTAGAAGACAAAAAACCATATTCTTGAAATACTTTTGAAAAATATTTGGCAAATAATAATGATTTCTTTAATTGAGATTTTCACGCTTAGAGAGTATAGGTACTTTAAGTAGAATTTTATTGCATTAAATGGGTTACCAGATATTTTTTGTTTTTGAAGGGTAATTTTCTTAAATGAAGGAGTTATTGCTAATTATGAAATGTGTAAACGATGTTGAGTTTAATGACCATCTTTTTAATATTATCTCTTTAAGGTTTTAGGTGAAAAGGTTCATATGAGAGCAATGTCCATTGCTCAGAGAGTAATGCTCCTTCAACAAGGTCTTAATGACAGATCAGGTAAGTTAGACATCTTCATATAATACTTAAGTAGATTTTGAGTTCAGACTTAAGATTTAGGAAACAGGTGTCCTAAATTAAGTCAGGTAAGCCTATTTCCACAGCCTGTAGAAATTCATCTCCGTGTATTGTATAGAAAACATTTTTTTTTCTTTTTTAATTTTTATTTTTGTTTAGAATATTACAGATGCCCCTTTTTCTCTCCAATAACCCATTCCACCCCGTCCCATCCCCCTCCCTAGTCCCTCTTCCCACCATTGTCTGTGTCCTTGGGTTGTGCATATATGCATATAGATTCTTTGGTTACTCTCTCCCCCTCCACCCACCCACTCTCCTCCATCCCTCTGACATTCGTCCGTCTCATCTATGCTTCCATGTCATTGAATCTATTCTGTTCATCAGTTTATTAAGTTCTTGAGATTCTACGTATAAGCGAGATCATGTGATGTTTGTCTTTCGCTGCCTGGCTTATTTCACTTAGCATAATTTTCTCCAGGTCCATCCATATTGTCCCAAAGGGTACGAGATTCTTCTTCGTTGCAGCTGCATAGTATTCCATGGTGTAAATGTCCCACAGCTTTTTTATCCACTCGTCTACTGATGGGCACTTGGGCTGTTTCCAGATCTTAGCTATTGTAAACTGTGCTGCTGTGACCATCGGGGTACATATATTTTTTCTGATTAATGTAGAAAACATTTCTTAAGGTTAAAGATCTTAATACCTTAAAGGAGCAGAGTTAGTTTCAATTTTCCTGTGTTTTACAGATGGAGAAACTATAGCTTAAGGCTATAGAGCTAATTTATATCAGAAATAGGGCATGATCTCTTTTTTTTTTTAAAATATATCTTTATTGATTTCAGATAGAGGAAAGGAGAGGGAGAGAGAGAGATAGAAACATCAACGATGAGAGAGTCATTGATTGAGCCCACAACCCAGGCATGTGTTCTGACCAGGAATCGAACCCTAATCGCCTGGATCCTAGGTCGACGCTCAACCAATGAGCCATGCCTGGCCGGGCATCTTTTTCAACTCTCTCTCCTTTATTAAAATGCTATCTTGCCCTGGCCTGGTGACTCAGTTGGTTGGAGCATTGGCCTGTACACAAAACTGATTGCCGTTCTAATGTAGTCAGGGCACATACTTAGGTTGTGGGATTGGTCCTGAGCCAGGGCTCCTAAAAAATCATCAGGTGAGGATTAAAAACATGCTATCTATCCCCTTTGTGTATATCTGGATATGAATGAGTTCAATGCATTGTAAACAACAGTCAGGAATGGCCATACTAGTATCATTTTCTTTGTTTTTTGGTTTTTGTTTCTTCCTGTTAAAACTAGAGAATCTGTTTACAGGGCGATGAGGAATGATCTAGTTTAAATTTCCAATCTGTATGAGAAGGCTAAGATGGCTTAATTTTGCTGAGGTTGAAAACATTTATTGTCACAGGATTAATGATTAGGATGCCTTTAAAAATTAAGAATAGGTTTGTTCAGTGGTATATGTTCGTGTGATTCACTACTGCAGATAGCATCGTGTGGAACAGATGAAGTCCGTCAGCAAGTGAACTAATATGTGTTATGTAGTCCAGATTAAGACCTGAAGCCTGCTGAGCCCAGGGGAGAAGGAATGCAAGGCTGTGGTAGTGGTTGTATATCTGGTTCTGACCTTCATTTGTATTCGGAAGTGAGCATCAGTGATTTCTGCAATATGTTGTACTTCTATTTTTTTGTTAGTATGCTTTGTTCTGTCTCTTAGTTTCATTACATTTTTATTGTAAATATCAACCTCATGTTAACACTGATCTGGTAAATGAATTAAAACAGACAAAATACAGGAAATGGGAGCTAGAGGGAGCCTTGCTCACCTATGTTTCATATGATTTAACAGAGGCTGTCAAACAAGCAACGCAGAAGCATCTTCTCCAGGGCTGGCTGCGTTTTGCTGAAGGAAATGTATTAGAGTTACTTCATCGGTTGGATGTGGAAAATTCTTCTGAAGTGGCAGTCTCTGTTCTCAATTCCTTATTTTCAGTGACTCCTCTTAATGAACTGGCAGAAATCTGTAAACATAACGATAACAGGTATATAAAGTATTCATTATTTGAAATGTAATACTGATGAACTTCTGTAATGAATATTAGTCCCCTCCCCTCATTACTTCAGATTGATTGTATCAATACTTTTTATCTATCCCTCTTATTTTTTTTTGTTTTGTTCTAGTGGATGTCAATTTTTTCCCTTGTGTAAGAACTCACTACTTTATCATAGACTACTTTAGCTGCATTTTTAATTTTTTATTTTGTTACTTTGATTTTTGCATTAACCTACTATGGAAAGTCCAACAACATGCGTCCCTATAGTATGTTTGCTTATTTGATTTTTTTTTGGTCTAAATATTTTCATTCTTTTTTTGTGGATAACTTAATGACTTCACAGTTTAAAAGGGGAGTGATTATAAATCACTTGCTTCTTAATCCCATTTTTCTATGCAGTTCAAATTTTTAACTGGATATTAAAATCATGCTTTCTCTGTTTTCTCTCCTTTAAATGAAGGAAATTGATTCCAATGGAAACATTAACTCCTGAAAATGCTTTGTATTGGCGTGCCCTCTGTGAATATTTGAAGTCAAAAGGAGATGAAGGTGAAGAATTTTTAGAGCAGATTTTGCCAGAGCCCGTGATATATGCAGAGTATTTACTGAGGTAAAATGTTTTCCTTTGGAATGTACTTGTATTGCTCTCTGTGTCAGACCCCCACCAACCCCCTCCCTCAGGGACAGGTTGACTGGGAATAAGTCAGAACCACTTTTGGGGGGTGGGGGACAGGTAACGATAAATAAGTATACGCAGTGAGTGTTTCTGAAGAAAGTAAAAATATGTTTAGGGACATTTTCTGAAAACTTCAGATGTGTTCTGTACATTTCTCCATGTAGTGATGATGATGTGTTACTCTGAAATGGGTTAGCAAGCTTTCTATGTGCCAGACAGTAAATATGTGAGAGTCACAGTGACTCAGTTTGCTGTGAGTGCAGAAGCAGCCAAGGACAAGATGTAGTAAAAGTTTGACTATTTTTTAATAAGACTTTTATGGATGCTAAAATTTGAATTTTGTATAATTTTCACATGCATATATTTATACATGTTTATATATTCACATACATATTTTAAACTGCTATTTAAGAATGTAAAAATATTAGCTTGCAAGCTATAGAAAAACAAGCAGTCAGCTTTATTTGATGCATGGGCCATAGTTTTCAACAGACAGGGTAGACGTTTGTTCCCAGTTCTAGTATTAATTATAACTGTTACTATTTGGCTTTTTGTTTTAAGAATCTTTTCAAAATGTACTTTTTTCTTAAATTATTTGAATTACTCTAATTTTTACTTATTTCACTTTAAAATTATACAAGTAAAACATTAATTCATTCTTGTCAAAATTCCATTACAGATGTATGTAGAATAAAAGTGTGGCATTTCCTCTTTTATCTCCTAATTCCTCAATCTCATTGATTTCCTTGGAGTTAACAACCAAACAATTTGGGGTATATACTTTCAAACTTTTCTCTACATTTATATACATGTATGCTAAATGCAGAAATACTTTAAAAAAATATAGCACACTATACATAATTGGTTTTTTTTTAACTACTGGTGTCCGAGACCATTATATGTTCTATGTACATTATATGTACATATAAATATATCACAGTCCTAACAACAGCATATCATTCCATAGTGTGGTGGTATCATTGAATTACTCTGTTGGACATTTTATATGTTTACAGTTTTCACTGATGTTACAAACTTCCTTTCACTAGCCACAAACTTCCTTGTATATTTTTATGTCTGTTTGGGATTTTGTGGGGTTGATTTCCAGAAGTGGAATTGATTTTTGTTGCCATTCTTAAAATGACATTTTTAATCTGGATTGTTGTTTTTCATATTCCAACCTAAAGGCACCTAGTTGTTTAAGCACTTTCAAAAGAGAGCGCTTCTGTGGGCTACTGGATATTTTCTAGGTGAGGGCTGTAAAAGGCTCTAATGTAGCCAGTGATAGTGAGACTAACTACAAGTGTAGTTGATGGTGCTGTTCAGTAGCACCTGCACTAACATAAGAACAATACAGAGCTGAGTGGGCCCCCAAGCAAGGGTAATGCAAATTCATGAAGCTGTCTGTATTTTCCTGACTTTTAAAAAGGTCATTGTATTCATGGATCACTTGTGTCATTACTATTATTACTACTATTGTTTTACTTAATTAAATTAATTAATTTTTAATTAAATTTATTGGGGTGGCAATGATTAATATGAACATAGAGGTTTCAGGTGTGAGTTTCTGTGTTACAAGATCTGTATATTGCTGTGTGCTCACCACCCAAAGTCATTCTTTTAAACAAAATAATGGTTAATTAGGAATGATGAAGACTAATTCTTTATGAAATTGGATTTTGGAGAAGGGATTCAGAACTTTATAATTGAGAATACTAGTGACATATACCTGAAACAAATATCAAATAATATTGAATATCAACTGTAATAGAAAAATAAGAAAATTAAAAATAAGAGAATACTAGTCACATTGAAATAATTAGTTATCAGTTTGAGAGAAACAAATATGTACCTCTTGAAAATTTCCCATAGGAAATTTGAATTCAATGAAAATACATTTTTCAAATTCTTTTGATTCAAGTCAATAAGTTTGTTAGTAAAACAGTTCATGACAATAGCACTGAATTTACTCTGTAAACCAAATTAGTATCACTTGGTATAAACATCCATATATTTGGAGTAATGTGAACTGAAAAAAGACCCTTTTCTGACCTAATGGGGAGCTGTTTAATGTTTCTTAACACATTCTACCTTTTATTAATTATTCTTTTAGTTATATTCAGAGCATTCCAATTGTTGATGATGGACACAGAAATGATTTTTCCTACATTGGACATTTGATGACAAAAGAGTTCATAGGTCAGCAATTGATTCTAATTATCAAGTCTTTGGATACCAGTGAGGAAGGAGGAAGGTATGTCTGAGAGCTAACCCTCATTCTGATTTGCTCTTAATCCTCTATTGAAATACAGTCTTGTTACAATATAATTAAATATACCGAGTGGGCAAAAGCAGGTTTACAGTTGTTTGTGTGGAAAAGAATACAATAATTAGTAAAAATGCAAGAGTAAACTGTTTTGTGTACTCACAGCGGTAAACCTACTTTGCCCACCTCTGTATTTAACCTAGCTCTCTGACATGTTATAAAAAGTATTTTCTTTTCTCTTCTATGTGTAATATACAAAAGGAAACATACTCTTTCCCTTCCTCCATTTTCCTCTGTGTGTGTGTGTATGAAAACATAAAATATATGCGATCTTTTTTTCCATGAGGATTCTTTCTTTTTATTGTTTTCTTATTTTTTTATTTTATTTTATGAGGTCGTCATTCAATTTATTTAAAATAAATCAATGAAATTGGATGTTTATGCTTAAAAATCTATTTGTCTTCATGACAGAGAGGGCTAGTAATACTCTCTAAAAGATTTCATTCACTTCTGGGATTTTACCATTCATTATGTTGATTTATATGAGATTGTAAGGTCATTTATAAAAATTCTTTTTTTTGCAGAACATGAATTTTTGACCTAAAATCTCTACATATATTTTTGTACGTATGGTGATAAACATAAAAAAGAACTGAAACAAATGTGATTTAAGTCTGTAGAGGAGGTGAAATGTTAGAGATAAAATGTGTTTCTGCTGTCATATTTAAATTAAATAGTTCTTTTTGAACGCAGGAAACGATTGCTGGCTATTTTACAGGAGATTCTTACTCTCCCCACAACCCCAATGTCCCTAATTTCTTTTCTTGTTGAGAGACTGCTCCACATCATTACAGATGATAATAAGAGAACACAAATTGTAAGTAATTATCTTCATTGTTGATAGAGATAAGAGGTTTTGGTCAATGACAGAATTGTCTTACTTTTTTTCAGTACTTTTGCTTGGTCTTTACCTTTTGTTTTAATTTGTCTATCAAATTTTTAAACTTAAAACCAGATCTCTCTTTCACAAACACACACACATTTAAGAAAATATCTCCTCCTCTTAGCATACTTACATTGTGTTGTATCAATTTGAAATGGAGCAGGTTAGGGAAGAGGTGACATTGGGCATTGGTCACTAGAGTGTTCAAGAGCTGGCTCAAGTTACACATACCTCTGACACTTTCTGGTTTTGTGATTTTAAGCAAGTTATTTAATTTAGGTTTTTTACTTGTCTGCAAAATATGAATAACAATAATGAAATAATGTTCATGAATTGCTTTATAAATACAGAAATAAATGTTACATAATATTACTGTTGCTAAGTTTTATTTCCTCTGGGGTAGCTAAAAAAGACAGACCTGCATCATTGCTTTTCATAAAATCATAAGTTAATTCACAGGTTGTCTTTTCCAACCCCTCCTTATATATACAGATTTATACATAAATCCCTTCTGCAACATTTCCAGTTAGTGGTTATCCAGTGTCTGCTTAAGTATCCTCATTTGGAATGCAGCCTTTTCCTGAATCTGCCAACTCCAGTGGCTCTGAAAGGAAAGTCTTTAGTTATGCTGTCATTATTTATGCATTATATAGTCAAAGAAACAATAAAATAATATTCTGCTTTTTATATTTAGCTCCCATGGAGCTGAACAAGGGAAGGAGTTGAAGATTTTAGGCAGAGAATTTTAGTTTCATGGTACCTAAGATTAGACACTATTCATTTTTTCTGTTTCTGAAGCAGTATGTGAGAACTTATCTTCAATGTCTATGTACCTTTTATCTTCCCATAATCTTAGAGTTTTTAGTCAAATGTATTGTTTGGTCATTTTTTTCTAAAATTGTCTAGCAAATAGAATGTATTCCATTTTTACTTATATATTTTGCTCTATTTTTCAAGAGATTGTGGATACTAATTGGAATTTTTTGTAGCAGTTTGATGTCATTTTTTGAAATAGAACATATATGAAATCATGTACTCTGAATTATAACTTTACTTACCAGGTTACAGAAATTATCTCAGAGATTCGGGCACCCATTGTTACTGTTGGTGCTGAAATTGACCCAGCTGATGCAAGAAAGAAAGAACTCAAGGTAAATCTCTTCTGAATGAAAGAAATACTTGAATATAATGTAGTTCTTCAAGTCTTTTATTCCTTTTTGCTGTACATTTTCAGGGTTGTTCTCACAAGGTCAAATGATTGATTAACTATTAAACTATAAGAGCATCTAAAATGTTTCCAGATTATGTCAGCCTAAAAGATTTGCAGGTCTCTGTTTTAGGAAGACAACAACTTTGCATATGTCTGACTGATTAACTTATGGGACATTTAGATGTTAGAGTGTACTCTTTAGTTTGCTACAGATTTTCATATTAATAGGTTTTGTTTGATATTTACACAATTTATATCTTTCCTAGATGGCTGAAATAAAAGTTAAACTTATTGAGGCAAAAGAAGCTTTGCAAAATTGCATTACTTTACAGGATTTTAATCGAGCATCAGAATTAAAAGAAGAAATAAAAGCATTAGAAGATGCCAGAGTAAGCCTGTTGAAAGAGACAGAGCAGCTTGAAATTAAAGAAGTCCATGTAGAGAAGGTATACTTTATACTAAATTTCACCTGGTATTTATCTCAACTACACCTTGTTTTCTTAACTCAGAAATCTGCCAGAATATATTCACTTTGGAGGAATTTGTTCCATGAATTAATATAAAAATAATTTTTCCTACTCCTGTTCCTTTCTGTTTTGGACTTTGAAAGGACTTAATTAATTATTGTAACTAGGGCTTTATTTGCTCCCTTAGTGCTAATCACTGGAATCTAAAGTCTTCTGCCCTGGCCAGTGTGGCTCAGTTGGTTGGAGTGTCTTCCTGTACACCAAAGGTCGCGAGTTTGATTTCTAGTTGGGGCACTTAGGGGAAGCAACCAATTGATGTTTCACTCTCACATCGATGTTTCTCTCTCCCTCCCTCTCCCCTCTCCCTCTCCGTCTTCCTCTCTCTTTCCCTCTCTCTCCTTTCCTCTCTCTCAATAAAAGCACATCCTCCAGTGAGGATTTTAAAAAGGCTTTATTTGCTGAGGAAACGGTCACCTTCTGGTTGGTGTTTGTTTGTCTTGAATGGTTCAGAAAAGGAAAATGCACCATTTATTTGTCTTTTCCTTATTTGTGGAAGGCTAATGACCTTTCTGTTGCTAGGGAAAGAATTTCAGTGGTAACCATACTAGTATACACATATATTTTAAAGCTCAATTACAGTCATGTATCACATAATGGGGATAAATTTTGAGGGATGTGGTGTTTGGTGTGTTATTTAAAACTTTATTTTTATTGTTGACAAGATTACGATGTCCCCATTTCCCCCTTTGCCCATGCCCACTCCCACCCAGCCCCTCGCCCCATTTCCTCTGGCCATCACCACACTATTGTCTGTGCCTATGGGTTATACATATATGTTCTTTGGCTAATCCCTTCACCTTTTTTGTCATTGTGGAATATCATAGGGTTCACTTACACAAGCCTAGGTGGTAAAGCCTACTACATACACACCTAGGCTGTACTATATAGCCTATGGCTTCTAGGCTACAAACCTGTACAGCATGTTACTGTACTGAATACTGTAGGCAGTTGTAACACAATGGTAAGTATTTGTGTATCTAAACATAGAAAAGGTACAGTAAACATACGGTATACAAGATAAAGTGTATGTGTGAGTGTGACTGTGCACGCTTGCACATTTTGGGGGCAGGGGAAGGGCTGTGGAGGGAGGTTCCGTCTGAGGGAGAGTGCACCTCAGGTGGGGGAGAAGGGAATGAAGAAAGGAGGGCAGATATCAAAAGAGACAGATAAAACGTGAAAGAAGAAATAATAAAAGGGTGAGGGGAGGAGAGAGCAAGCAACAGAGCGAGAATGAGAGCAGAGAGAAACAGGACTGGGAGGGAAAGAGATAAAGAGAAATGGAAGGAAGGGAAGGGAGTTGGTACACAGGAGTGTGTGTGCGGCATGTGTGCCTGTGTGTCCAGGCAGGGGCTCCCCTCCCCAGCCTTCTCCCCACCTTTCCTTGTCTGTTCCTGGCCCATACACTGGCCAACCATTATGTGGCACATGACTGTACTGTTATTTTCAGAAAAAGCTAAGTAGCTTTGTTATTTTCAATGAAATAGTAAACATATATCTAGTAACATTTAAAGCTAAGTTTCAGCAGTCTTTTTAAAACACAGTTGTATTTTTTTTTTTTTTTTTTTTAATTCTCACCCAATATGTTTTCATTAATTTTAGAGAGAGAGAAACATCGATGTGAGAAACATTGATCGGTTGCCTCCAGGAAGTGCCTCGACCAGGATTGAATCTGCAACCTAGGTATGTGCCCTGTCCAGGAATGGAACCCGCAACTTTTTGGTGTACAGGATGATGCTCCAATCAATTAAGGCACCCGGCCAGGGCAAAACTTAGATGTATTTGATAAACGAGTCTTACTTTAACATAACATAGAGTGCTCTCAGTTGCTGTATGATTTGCTGTTAAGTTAATCTGGGAGGTCATTTTGTATCTTACCTTTGTGGTAAACGTCATTTATTATTGTATAGTTTGGGAAGTGCTGATTAGTGTATTCATACAGAGAATGCTGTATAGGGGGAGTTTATTATACAAAAGTGTTCTGTAAGTTATATTACGTCCCTGAGCTCTTTAGCTGTAGACATCCCCACTCTTACCACCCCACTTTCCCAATGAGGATGCTCAATTTTATTTTCATAGCAGGTAGCTTATTTCTTTTGTTTGACAAAATCTGTGGATCATTATAGGCTCTTAAATTTGAGGAGAAAATTAAAAGTGAAAATATATTGCAAACTGAAAATGATATAAACTGCAGGTCTGAATTAGAAAAATATTAACAGAGGTAGTCTGCCCTGATATCATCTGTTTAACTTGAGTTGCTTTGACGATTTGTTCACTTTTCCTGTTTAAGGGTTATAAATCTATTAGTACAATTACAGCATAGCATAATAAATGCTATGGTCAGGGAAGTACAGGGGTTTTACGTATAGTACAGGGGTTTTCCACTCTTACCTGTTTATCCTGGTTGGGTGTTGGGGGCTTCCTCAGAGGAAGAATTGCTTTAACTTATGATTTGAATAAAAATGGTAATATAAGCAGGATGCTTTTTCTGTGGTAGTACTGCTTCATCCACTCACAAGTATGAATGTATTACCTTATGATGTTGGTACTGTTGTTCTCATTTTATAGAGTACAAGTAACTTGTTAGCCCAAAGTCACTCAGGTAGTAAATGGTGGAGGCAGAATTCAAACCCAGGCAAGTGGCTTTAGCTTTGTGCTTTTAGTGCAGTCTGTATTATCTCATCGCAATGAATTATTAAGGGAATGTTGCAGGCAGATGGAACTACATGTGAGAAGGCTCACAAGTTACAGAGTCTGTTGTGTTAAAAAAAACTTCAGGTCTACATAACTAGAGAATTGAGGGGGAGAGTTAAGAGAAATCTGGGGGAAAATTAATGGCCAGACCATGTAATGTCTTGTATAAGCAATATTTAATTTGTGCTACCCAAAGATCATGGTCAACCACCAAAGGGTTTTAAGTGGCAGGATGGATGAGATTTATGTCTTAGATCATTGTTATTCAGAAATGGATCTCAGTGTGTAAAAACCTAGGCAGGCACACACACCAGTTAGGAGACTGTTACAGTAATGTGGGCTTGACATGGTTGCAGTCTCAACAAGATAATGATGGTGGATATGGGAAGTATTTAGGAATTGGTAACGGAGAAGGGTGAGTCAAGAATGTATGCTAGTGTTTTGCTTTGGAGAACTGGGTAGATGACAGCGATACTTATGGAGATAGCACAGGAGGAGGAAGGATTTGGGTAATGATGAGTTCTCTTTTCAACATTTTGAGTTTGAGAAATCTGTGGAGCTATATATAAGAGTAAATGTCTGACAACAGTTTGTATACATGAATCTGAAACTCAGAATAGCTGGGCTAGCTCACAGATGGTAAATGAAGTTGTGTGACTGCATAAGATTGCCCAGGGTGTGTCAGCAGAGGCAATATTCCTTAGACAAAGCCCAGAGAAAGCAACCGTTTAAGGGATGGGCAGAAGATATTCTTACTAATGTTCAATACTTTGTTTCATTTTAGAATGATGCTGAGACACTACAGAAGTGTCTCATTTTGTGTTATGAACTGTTAAAACAGATCTCCACTTCAGCAGGGATAAGTGCAACTATGAATGGCATCATTGACTCTTTGGTATGTTGGTGGCCTTTGAAATTTTATTCTCATGCACTCCTTCCTCATTTTATAAGTAAAATGTTCCTTGGGGTTCAAAAGAATGAAAAGATGGCCATTTTAAATATCTGATAAATATAAATGGTAAAAAAAATTACAGTGGCTACAATCATACTGTGAGGATTAAATTAAGATAATGCATGTAAAAGATGTGGTATATAGTTATTCCTTTAAAAATTTTGAAAAAAATAATTTATGCTGGAAAGAAATGCAGAATATTTTCATTCTTTGAATGGTAAGAGGAAATAATGGGAATATTTAAGTGCTGGAATCTTGCTCAATAGTAAGAGTATGAAAAGATACATTATGAACCCTGTGAAAGGAGTTTATTACTATATATTTAAAAGACTTTTCACTAAAGTAACCCTTCATAGTTAATCTCCATTTTACTGAATTTAGGGATATAAACACTGCAAGACTCTAGAACAGCATTGTGATAGAAATATAATGCAAACCACATGTGACTTTAAATTTTCTAGTAGCCACATTTAAAAAATAAAGAAACAGGTAAAATTAATTTTAATATTTTTAATCCGATATACCCAAAATATTATAACTTCATCACTTACTTAATAGTAAAACTATTGTGATATTTTAAATTCTGTTCTTCATACTAAGTCTAAAAGCACATCTCAGTCTATACTAGAGACATTTCAAGTGTTCAGCAGTCATATGTGGTGGTGGCTACAGTATCAGACAGTGCAGCTGTAGAGCATTCTGTTTCAGTTGTGTACTCAGCGAAAGCAAATTTCGAATGTATTTTAAGCTCTTCCAGGATTCTCCCTAAGTTGTTTTCACTTGGGATTAGTAAAAAACAGTCAATGAATGGGATCTAAAATTTAGATTTCTAGGTTGTCATGAGTTTCTTAATTCAGTAAATAAGAGCAGTTATTATTTACAGCAGTTTAGAGCTTTTGATTAAAACTAGGCTCTGTTAAACCATTAGAATTTATTTTTAGTTTTAGTGAAGCAGATACCCTCAGTGAAAACTTATGCTTTTAAAGTTGTACTGGCATACTTCATGTCTAGTCCTATTGCAGGAGATGGGTAAATTATGGTATATGTAACTATACAATTGAAGTAGTAAATATGAAAACTGTATATATGTGGGAAAATATACACAATGTTGAAGGAAGAAAGAACACAAAATTGAATGGTCATAATGGTGTTAATTATATAAAAACTAGAAACTGTGTAAAGATTGAAAGAGACTGTAGAGGGATGTAACTGAGTAAGATATTTAGATACAGGAGTTAGAATATTTTTATGAAATTACTATTCTTTACATAAAAATAATAAATGAATTGAGCAGATTTTTATTGAACATCCCCTATATACTAAATACTGGGGATAGAGTATATGTGGTTTACAAAACACACATAGACTGTTCTCATGCGTCTTTGGTCAGGTGAGGGAAACATCAGTCAAAGTGGCAGCTTATGCTGTTGGTAATTGCTCTGAATAAGGTGTGTGTGATCATATGTGACTCTACAATAGTGCAGTTTGACGTGTTCATGGAAGGTGGCTTTGGTCTGATATTTGAGTAGACATTAACTATGAAGGAGGAGGGCAGAATGTTTTAGACCTGCTCTCCAATACAGTAACCACCAGCCACATGTGGCTATTAAAAACTAGTCCAAAACAGATGAGCTCTAAGTATAAAAATACATTGGGTTTTGAAGACTTGGTACAAACAACAGGCTATAAATTATCTTCATTTTTAAACGTTGATTACATGATTTATGATAATATTTGGGCTTTATTGGCTAAAATAAAATACACTAAGATTAGTTTCACCTGTTTTTACTTTAGTGTGGCTATTAGAAAATTAAAAATGACACTTGGCCTGCATTCTATTTCTATTGGATGGCACTGAGTGAAGGGCATCACAGTCAGACCAGTTGAATAAGCACAGAGCAGGGGATAGTGTAGTAATATAAGATGATACTGGGAAAGAGTGCACAGTGAGAAATTTTATATGGTAAGGAGTTTTATCTTTGTGCTATGAGCATTGGGAAGCCATTGAGAAAGTTTTAGCAGTTGGAAGGGGAGGTGCCTCATAATCAGACTGTTTCACTCTGGCTATATTCTTCTGTTTTAGCAATTTAATATTTAACTTTTCAACTGAAAATTGACTTGAGTTAATAGACAATATGGAAATGTAGATATACAAAATCATACACAAATTATTTTGACCATGTTTTTAATATACTATTGTAAATTTCTTGTCCTGGTAAAAATTATACTTTCTAATTCATTTTAGATTCTTCCTGGCATAATAAGTGTTCATCCTGTAGTAAGAAATCTGGCTGTTTTATGCTTGGGATGCTGTGGCCTACAGAATCAGAATTTTGCAAGTAAACACTTTGTATTACTCTTACAGGTAGGATTTATCTTGTGACAGAATCTTGATTGTTTTTCTTAAAATACTCAGAATCTGTGGCCATATGCTAGTACTCTACCTTACTGAAGGTAATGATTATGGATGACTTCTAAAGACTCAATTTTTATCTTTTGATTTTTCTGATTTAAACACCTCTGTAGAAAAGGAGTGAAATGTCAGTTAAGGATTTTTAAAATTAATCATACAGTAAACATTTATTGAGTGCATATTATATGCCCAGCATTATTCTAGGCTTAGAAAAAAATAAGATAGGAGCTTACATTTTAGAAGAGAAAACACAATGAAAAATAAACATTGTATATAGTATAGTAGGCATCAGTGATTCTGCTAGTAATTCTAAAGGAAGTCTAGTTTAGTATTATGAAATGTCTTGGCTTTTAGGTGCCTAGGAAATAAAATCCTACATTTTCAAAGAGGTTTTGCTAAGAAATTAGAACAGAAAATTCTCTACTTCAGTTTCCTGTCTTTCTATAAGTTTGGGGTGTTGAAGTACTAGATTGACCCTGATCATTACTTTTCTTTTATAATTTAAAAAAAATTAGATTTATTGAGGTGACATTGGTTAATAAAATTATGTAGGTTTCAAGTGTACATTCTGTGATACATCATCTGAATATTTCATTGTGTGCCCACCACCTGAACTGAGATGTTCTGTCACCATATATTGACCCCATTTACCCTGTACAACCCCTCTCCCCTTCCTTCCCTCTGGTAACCACCATACTGTTGTGTGTGTGTGAGTTTGTTTGTTTTTCTTGTTTGTTCATTTGTTGCTTTCAGTTTTATATCTCACATGAGTGAATTCATATGATTCCTGATTTTTTCTATGTGACTTATTTCGCTTAAGCATGATATTCTCAAGATCCATCCATGCTGTTGCAAATCGCAGTATTTCTTCTCTTCTTATGGCTGAGTAGTATGCTGTTGTATATATGTACCACATCTTTATTCAGTTGTCTATTGAAGGACACCTTGGTTGTTTCCATGTCTTGGCCACCATAAATAATGCTGCAGTGAACAAAGAGGTACATGTATCACTCACCAAAACTTAAGTGCATTAAAGATGATAGTAAATCTCTTTATAATAGAAATATTCAGCTCTATATTTTCATGGTTTTGAGATTTGGTCTGTAGGAATTGAGTTTTCTTATCAGGATAGACTCATAAAAATTGCTAGGCTTTCTAGAAATCCCCCTTTTATAAAGGAGTCCTGTTCAGTTCGTTGAAAGCTGAATTTTTTGTTAATGAAATCTGAATTGAGCTAATAAGAAAATCATAGTTAAACATTTTTTTAATAAAAGGAACAAATAATATAATTCAGCTGGACACAAAGTTCCAGACTTTTTTTGACTGAAGGTGAACTTTTTCTGAAGGAAATATAGCTAAATGTTATGGTACAAATAAATAAAAATAATTCTAAAAAAATGGAAACTTTAATTGGTTTTGAAAAATGTTTTATGTAGGCTTGATGCCATTATGAAATTGGACTAAAAATAAGATACTTGTTAATTTTATGTAGCATAACAATTGAAAGTTTAGTGAATTCACTTTTGTTGGGGGATATTTCAATTTAGGTTTTGCAAATTGATGATGTGACAATAAAAATGAGTGCTTTAAAGGCAATCTTTGACCAACTGATGACATTTGGGATTGAACCATTTACAACTCAAAAAGCAAAAGCTGTTCGAAACGAAGGTGCGGAAATAAACACCAGTGAGGAGCAAGAGTCAGAAGAAGCTGGAGAAGTGACCGGCACAGCCAAGAATGTTCTGAAACTCCTCTCCGATTTCTTAGACAGTGAGGTAGGAAATGATCACAGCCCTGTTACTCTGAAATGTCATTTTCAGCATGTACCTTTATGTTCTTTATATCTATAGTTTTTAGGCTGAAGTTTAAACTTGGCCAACATTTAAAAATTTTGCCTTTTGATTGTCATAATTAAATTCCACCTTTACTTCTAGCATACCTAGTTTCTTGCTGTTGGATTGCTTGTGCTGAGAATTGAAGTGTAAACAAGAATGAAATGACTGGAGGGGCTTGCTATCATTTTTTCATCTTTTCCCGTCTTTGTGATTTGTGACTTAAAACATTTTTCCCCCAAGAGTTTTAAGAAATAAATTTTACATTGGGTTGGTGGAAGGTCTAAGATAGGGTATGGGGTTGCATCTTTTTTCTTAAGGAACTTTTGAACTGCGTTTCCTAGCATATAGATATATTTAATTGTCAATTTTACCTCAGTAAAAAAATTGTGACATGAGCTAACAATTGTAAATTCAGCAGTGTATTGGCATCACCATATTCACAGTGTAGTGTGGGCGCCACCCCTAACTGTTAAAGACATTTTCATTACCCCAAAAGGAAAGGTACCCAGTAAGCAGCTGCTGTCTCCCTCCCACCAGACCCAGACAGCCACTAGTCTGCATTGTCTCTACAGCTTTAACTATCTAGATATGTCATATAAGTGGAGTCATATACAGTATGTGGCTTTCGTCTGCTTTCTTTCACTTAGCTTTCTTTGAGGACCATCCATGTTGTAGCTTGTATCAGTACTTTATTTCTTATAGCAGAACACCATTCCATTTTACATACATACTGCCATGTGCTTAGCTGTTCAAATCCATTGAAAGATGTTTGGGCTGTTTCCACCTTTTGGCTACTGAGATTAGATAGTTCTGCCTTTAACAAATTCATAATAACAGGAATGATTTGGGGGTAGTTCATATAAAAATATTTTAGAGGCTACATTTTAAGGCTTAAAAAGGAAATATAAGTAAAAAATTTCCTTTAATGAAAGTTGTTTTTATTAGGTGTCTGAACTCAGGACAGGAGCTGCAGAAGGACTGGCCAAGCTGATGTTCTCTGGGCTCCTGGTCAGCAGCAGGATTCTCTCCCGCCTCATCTTGCTGTGGTACAATCCTGTGACGGAAGACGACGTTCGACTTCGACATTGCCTGGGCGTGTTCTTCCCCATGTTTGCTTATGCAAGCAGGTATTTATTTAGTCATGTCAGTGCGTCAACATCTGCCTTGGAGGTAAATTCACACCCCAGGAGTCATACCTACAGTGTTGTTCGTTTGTTCTTGTTCTTCAGTGGTAAGTGATGGAGTGAGAAGGTCTTACCTAGATTTTATCTCCCCGAATTACTTGGTTCCTCCCCATGTGAAAATGTACTGTCTTGATGGGGTGAACTTTATACATATTTTTGAGAATCCTGCTTTTTCTCTGCCAGTATACTTTTCTAATTGTGTTTCAATAGGACCAACCAGGAATGCTTTGAGGAGGCCTTTTTCCCCGCCCTGCGAACACTGGCCAATGCCCCTGCATCCTCTCCTCTAGCCGAGGTAGACATCTCCAACGTTGCCGAGTTACTTGTAGACTTGACAAGACCAAGTGCATTACATCCTCAGGCCAAGAATTCCCAAGATTACCAGGTGGGTGGAGGAAGAAGTTGACTGTCCTGAAGCCTGAACACCCCAGGTGATCCCACAGGAAGTTCCGTAACAGGGGTAGTCCTTCGAGTTACCCAGAATTGAGACCAAGCTGTGCCTTTATAGCCATGTACCTACCAGTCACTGAATGTGGCCTCTCCTGGGGAGGAGGTACATCCTTGGGCAGGGCCCACTGTCTTCAGCTTGAGTCAGCTCTGCACCTGGGAACCTTTAGCCTCCAAAATGTTTGGTCTCATAGTAGGTGGAAGATAAAGGCTCAGTGTAAAAGGGGGGCGGTCTGCCCTGAACCACAGCGTCCACTACAAGAACTTAAGAAGGGGAACTCATTTGGGAGGAACATGTTAAATTTGGTTTTAGACATTTTGCATTTGGGATGATGGCAAGATAGTTGGAAGTGTTTGTTAGATGTGTAGGACTGTATTGTCATACCATTTTCTATTTACAACCATTTTTCTCTTAATTTTCTAGGCCTTAACAGTTCATGACAATTTGGCTATAAAAATTTGCAATGAGATCTTAACGTGTCCATGTTCACCAGAAATTCGTGTCTATACAAAAGCCTTGAGTTCTTTAGAACTCAGTACCAATCTTGCTAAAGATCTCTTGGTTCTGTTGAATGAGATTCTGGAGGTAAAGTCCTTTCTAATTACTCTTATTTATGTATATATTTTTATCAAAGTAGAGTTTACATTGTTGTATTAAATTATACGTTAGCATTCTGTGACTTTGTTCATTTGAAGTAAATATTTCCTTCATAAATTTAATAGAATGCTAGAATGTTTTAAAACAACTTGATATCAGCATATAGCTTTTTTAAAAGATTAGAAAATGTATTTTAAAAATGTTTTCTATTATAGCAAGTAAAAGATAGGATATGTCTGAGAGCTTTGGAGAAAATCAAGAGTCAGTTACAAAAAGGAAATAAAGATGGTGGTGACCAAGCTGCAGCAGCGCAGGATGCCGCCGGCATGACGACTGTTTGTGAAAATGAGGGTGAGAGCACTAACCTGAGTATCTGGGAGGTTGTCCTTTTCATTTTCACTGAGACGCTTTTTCTCTCCTATAACATGGGGTGGGTTTCAGAAATTAAACGGAAATGTTTCTAATTAATCCCCCTGAGGAAGCCTGTAACTGCTAAGTGTTTGTTCTGCTCTTACAGGTTTTTGGTGTACATTTCTCAGCACGTGACCAGGAGTTTTGTTTGCTTACTTGCCAGTATTCACCTTTTTTGGAAAACTGATTTATGATAGATTTTCAATAGCTGCTAATAATTGGATGGTGGTCATTTCTGTTTTATGAAAAATTGACTTAGACCATTTAAAATATTCCATGAGGCTATTTTTTACTGACAATGTTGTTATTTCCTTTAATAGAAAAGAATAAAGAAGTATATATAACTCCTCCCAAGGTAAAAGCAACCCGAGCATCAAAATCCACTCAGCGGAAGACTGACAGAGGTAGTGCACAGATTGACTAGTTTTGTAATAAAACGTTTCAATTTTGTTTTCCAATGAACTACTGGGCAAGTTTCCTTATCTGTTTCCTTAGGGATAAATGTCTTAGGTATTCTTTATTTTTTTAATTCTTTCAGCTGATAATTAGGTTTTGCTTTGTTATCTAAAAGATTATATCAATGTTGCTGCAAGTACTTTTGTTTGAAATATGATACAGTTCATATTGCAAAGGATTATTTGGATTAAATTGATTTTTATTAGCAAATGATCGGTGATGATTTTATATTATCAGTTATTTGTGTTCTCTCCTTTATATTGGTAAGCACTTTGTCCCTTTTATCTATCTGCCTAGTATTTTTCTGGGCTTCCATTTTCCCTTTTCCCATTTCATGTTTCCCCAACATAATTTATTTCCCAAGCGATATCCAACAATAGGGGACTTGTTGGAATAATTAAATGTTGACTATTAGGGGATCACTTGGGGAAAAAATCTGTAATTCAAGATTTTTTTATTGTTTATTTTCTTATTACAAAAAAGCAGTGCATGCTTATTACAGAAAATTGGCAAACACATCCAAGCATACCAATATAAAGAACACTATAATACCACCCTTGAACCAACCACTATCTTAATCCTTGAAAAATGTTTTTTGAGGCCTTTTTCTATGCAGATTTAATATTTTTCTAAATGGAATCTAGGTGTAATATTGTTTTGTAGCCAGTCAGTTAATTCAGTGCTAATTGCTGGGTGTACCAAATTAGTCCCATATTGTTGGATATTTTCTTGGGGATAATTACATTATAAGTTTAAAAGGAAATACGTAAGGTTTTGGGGAGGGAATACAAGTCTCACATGAATAAGTAGGGCTTACAAATTTCAACCAAATGATCATACTGAACCACCTGGTTTTGATAAGATTGCTTTTAGCTGGATACTATCTCATTGGACCACCACCTCTAATTTTTTTTTTGATAGTTCAAACTTTTTTATGTATTGTTATCATAAATGAGGAGCATCCCAGGCCAAACTTTGTCTTAACCTTGTAAATTTTTGCAACTCCCAGCGTATCAAGACACTTAATTTTTATACTGTAATATGTTTTAGAACACATATTTGAATTAGCTTATATATGTTTGGATATTTTAGGACCTGTTTATGGGCTTAACCTACCTACCTTTCTACTTTAATTTTCATTAGCTTCTCCATGTTTTGTACTATAGCCATAATAGAGGCATTTCCTTATATAGTATGTTTTTTACATGCTGCTTTCTTCTAATTACGTTTAACTGAAATTTGCCTCCTTAAAACATAATTTTCATATTTTCCCTTTTATCGGAGCTTACAGAAGAAATTAGTAAATTTTTAATCTTGCTTAAGTTCCTTTCCTCTGCGGTGTTGGTAATTGATAATCCTAGGTGGCTGGGAACTTAGGAGGAAATGTGTTAAAGAGGGAAAATAAAGGATTTAGGTAGCCCACAAATAGATTAAAAACAATAAGCCACTGATAATCTTGATAATGAACTGTCTTTAAGGACGGCGAAAAGTGACAGCTTCAGCCAGGATGAGCAGGAGACGACAGACTTCTGGGACTGACTTGGAAAGGTATGTCATGCGTGTGTAGGGTATGTTGAATAGAAAAAATTTTAGTGTGCTTCTGTGACAGAGAAACTCAATATATAATAAGATAATCAGTGAAAACTGTAAATAGCTATGTCTTGGATTCCATTATCAAGAGCATTTGACTTCCTGTGGCTTGCTTTTCCTATTGGTTGGCATGGCCTTGACTACTAGGTAATCAGCTTTAATGTGCTTTTTCAGTTTCTATTTCCAGTTCTTCTAATTACATGGTCATGTGTATAGGACTCCTCTAATCTTGAATTAGCAACCCTTGAGATTTAGGTTTGGGTTCTCGACTTGTACAATGATAGAACACTTCTGTCTATAATTTGGATATAGTGGTATAGTGTTTATATTTGGTTTCTGCCAGTCAGCCACTGTTGGAAGCTGAAAGTTGTTGCTGCCTTGCATTCATTTATTCACTGGAAAAACTGTATATTTTCAGCCCGTAACTTAATGATTAAATTTTGACTAAATTTAAAAATCTTTTGGGGAAACATGCTATTTAGAGTGTTTTAAGGAATTTATTTCCTAAGTGGAGATTTTCTTCCATTTCTTGTATTCTCCCAAAAACTCTTTTGGGCAGTTGTTATGGTCCCTGTTTAATGACAGCCTTCATTACAAAAGTTTGTGTTTGTTTTTTCCTTCTGTATAACACCAGGTTCCACATAGATATAAAAAGAACTGAGCTAGGTTTTCCATGATTTCAGTTTGCTGGATAGCCAGCCAGTGTGTTTTGGTTTAGTTTTAAGCTTAGTGGAGTCAGGATATCAATTACACACTGATAGAATGGGAGTCAGAAACAAAAAACGTTTTATTTATAAATAAACTGTGGCTTTAAAGCTTGTATTTAAATTGGTGTATTTTCAACATCTATTTAGTGATCATGAAGTTCCAGAGCCAGAATCAGAAATGAAGGTGAGATTACCAAGAAGAGCCAAAACAGCAGCACTAGCAAAAAGTAAACGTAACTTGGAGCAACTTCTCAATGAAGAAATGAATTAGGAGGCGAGATGATGGAGGTGGGGTCCTTTTTCAAATGCCCTTTAAAATTATTTTTAGTTCTTTGTTTTAATAAACTTACCCTCGTGTCAACATTAGAAAAATTTTTGCCTGATGTCTTCTAAGACGTTCTGCTGTGTGATTCCACGACGTTGGCCTGTACTGGAGCATCAGGACAATGTCTGTCAATGTGCGCCACAAACCACCTGCATCGGCCACAGTGATTTCATCAGAATCTAAAGTGGGCCCAGGAACCTGCTTCTTAGGCTTTCCAGAGAATGCATATGAACTCTCGTGTTTAAGAAAATGGCATTGCGGGCAACTGTCACTAGCTAGTAGTTTGCCTTTGAGAAGCTTGATTTAGGTGGGGCAGATCGGACATAAGTGAACACAGTTACAGAGCCACACCTCAAGGGCAGATGAAGTACCACAAACTCGCTAGAAATGAGCTCACTCCCAGGGAGGACTAGTATAATGAACCAGAGTACGCAGCAGCCAAGTTCAGCAGTTCTCATTTTGATTTTGTTTTGTGTTTCTTACAATAAAAACATTTTTGATAATGCTACCTGAATGGGTAATTTCTCTTCCTAAAATATTTGCATATGAGAGCCCTAGTTTGCTTGTTTGTGATGCTGTTTCCTGGGTGGGGAGATGTTCACATGTACATATTAATCCTGGACTTGCTTTCTGTGTTTTTTGGCGTAATAAAATATTTACTGTGGATAAGAAATACTAGTGGGAAAGGAATGTGACGGGAAGTTCTCTATATACTAATTTGCGGACACTATTTCTTCATTGTCAACTTCACTTATCTTCTGAAATTGGCACTTGCCTGACTATTGAAACATGTACTGTGTGAAACCAGTCCCCTTTCCTTCTGCAACATCCAGCAAAACACTTTTTCTTATCCGTCTGATAATTGCCTTTTCTCTTTATTTTTCAGAATAGAAATGCCCTAACTTTGGATCTGTTTTAATTGTGCTTTATTTACCAGAGGCCATTTATTTAAAGTGATGTTCTAAGATGGAGCTAAAGTCAAGATTGTGCTTTTCAGAACCAAATTGCTATATTACATACATATATGTGTTTTATAAAACCGAGAAATATAAAAGGAGTCTGAAAGTTACAAAGTAAGAATGCTTATTAAGCCGAAAGAAAAGGCAGATAATGGTGGTGATACAGAACAGTGAAAAACAGATGGTTTCCATTCTGTTGGCTCTGTGTCTTTTTCTGTGCTTCAAATTCTTTATCTAAATCTTCTTTTGTTAAATCCCTGTTTAAAAATATTTTGGGTTGGTGGTAGGGGAAAACAAGGACTTAAAATGTCACAAACTAAATTCCATTTACCTTATAGTCAGGCTATCCAAAGGGAAGGAGCCATGTTCTCATATACTTACATGGACCCCCATACCAAAGCTTTATCTGGCTGGGAAAACAAATTAAGCACCAAATCTTTAGTATTCTTACCATTCAAGTTTTAGACACAGTCATGTAAGCCATTGTTGAAGCTATGTGCTTTTGCACTATTAAAGGTAAGGAATATCCTGATTTAAAAAACACCCCTTTATACTTAAAATAAATGGCTAAAATACAGTAAAATTAATAGATGTAAATCCGTTTACCATTTTTCATTCAAAACTGATAACTTACAGAAACCAAACAGTATTCTTGTCTGTAAGAGGCACAGATTTGCTGAAGAGGAAACATGCGATTGTGCCACTGTTCTCACAGCTCACAGACTTTAAAGGTTTAAAAGTACATAGAAAGAAGACTCATCAGCTCAAATTCTCCTATGAATGGAAACATGCTACTTGATGGTAAACTAGGATCAAGTTTCCTATACATATATAACTTTGAAAATGATACACTTCTAAGAGATACCTTTGCCTTTCACCAATTCGAGGTAGTTGGTATCCACCTGCTTTACAACTGCTCATGGGTCAGGTCATCATCACGAATCTTTACAACACTTCTAAGTCACGCAATGCGTTATATATTAAAACTTTGTGCACAGAAATAAAACGGGGCAACTATATTTAAACTTAGGGCATAAAAAATTCACAAAGAGAAACATCAAAATCCATCTGTACTGCAAAATTCCACAATGGTCTGATGTAAAAAACGTACAAAGAATATAAGCAAAGTGATTAATGCTAATGATTTAATATAAAGACAAATCACAGGACTAGAAATATTTCAAGATCAATTGATAAATGCTTAATGTTCAGCAGAAAGAATATTGACGTACAAAATAAGGATAGTGCAAGAAGAACTGAAATCTATTTCTCTTCACTGGTGAGATTTTGGTTTTGAACTGTACAGCTTGCTAGAGGTGCTGCTGTCAAATTCAGATTCCATTCAATGGGATGATTAAGGCACATCTTAATGGGGCTCAAAGGGCAACTTGCTGCATTCCCATCAGACAAATTCAGTTTCTCATCAGTTTTCATTTGTAGCACGCTGGAAAAAAAAGTGTAAAGCATTTCAGTTTTACTTCAATTTCAAAGAAATCAACCTTGTAGAAGAAAATTTAATAGTTTTATTGTTGGAACCTCTAAACAGAGTGGCTAGAGCATGTATTACCCTGAGAGTACGAGTTTGTTTTGTTTTGAACCTGTCTCCCTGCTGAACTGAAGACTACACAGTAAGCCTGGCACTTGAGAGGTCAGTCACTCAGGTGCCACTGGATAAAGATTGTCACTGCATTTACAGATTTCATCAGCGTATGTCAGAACTGAGCTTGGTGGGATTCATCCCTTTCAACTTGGCCTTCAGCCTACCAAGGATCAGAGCCACTTTGAGACAAGAAGGAATTAACCTTTGCTGAATGCCTACTATTTTCTAGGCACATTTACATGTATCTAAGTTTCATAACAAGCAAGGTCAGTATACTTATCCTCCTAACAAATGATAAAAGTGAGTCTTGGAGAGTTAGGTACAAATATGCCTGAGGTTGTAGGCACCGGGCTGGAGTTGGGATTGGAACACAGTCCCTGCTCTTGCCTTTATGCCTGTCTACCGGCTCTCTGATGAAAATCTTTACGCACAGAAACCTGAGAGTCCACTCAACATGCAATGCACATGTAATTCTGAGCCTTAATGAGAGCTGATTCACATCTTCAGATGTCAACTTTTTGTTTATAAACTAACAGCTCCTGCACAGCTTATTTGGTATTTCATTGGTTGGTTTGGCTAGATATCGTTCCTAAGCTTTGCGCAACCGCACAGGTCCATGATCCCATCAGGAGGGAGGAAAATGAGCTGGGTAGCTAGCATTTAAGTGGCGGAGTTGGTAAAGGCAGCAGCAGCCAGACTTCCGCAGCATTTCCTGATCCCTCGCACCCTTAACCAACCAACTCCTTTGCCACTCAGTACTAAGCCAGAGAGACCATCCTGTTACACCATCATTTAACAGCTATCATGTTCTCCCCGAGTCCTCCCCAGGCAAACAGTCCCAGTTCCACTGAAGGACATGGTTCCTAAAGATATGATACAAACTATGAACTAGCCTAAAAGATTACTCATTAAAAACAGTAAATTGGTACGGTGAAGGGCTGGGGCGAGAGCTGGGTGGAGAGGGCCAAAGGGGGAAAAATGGGGGACATCTGTAATACTCTCAACAATAAAAGTAAAAAATAGTAATATCACTTAAAAAGCCAAAACATAGAGATGTGATTAATAGGATGACACTTAAAGTAAATCATGGCCCGATATGTGACAAATTAGAAATCCAAAACTATTTTCACCCATATCACAAATTGTAATTGATTTCTGAAAATACATGGGTTAGTTACTATTAGACTGGTGTGCCCTCATGGACCTCAAGTTCTTTTATTTCTCAAGCTGGCAAAGCACAGATAAAGCAGTAATGCTTTCCCTTCCTCCAAGGACTCTTCATAATTTTATTATTTGTGTTTTCAAAACAAGTTTGATGTACACTTCTTTGAGAAACTTCAAGGCAGGCTATGAAAATACAATCATATTAATTGAGGTACCCTGGTAGATAAGTACATCAAGTATCCAACTCCAAAAAAATAAATAAAAGATGGCATAGAGCAACAAATCATGGTCATAAAAAACTTGTTTTCTGTTTGTTATTTGATTGACAAAGGTGTATTACAGAAGAATACTTTAATAACATTCTTTGCAATACTGTAAAGACAGGTGGTTGTTTCTTTTTTACTTTTCTAGAAAAAGTACTAAATTTCAGCACACAAACTCCAGGGGTGCACAGAACTATGCATGTGCATGGGAAGAAAACTAAACGTTAGTACTAACACACAGATTGGCGTGCAATTCACAAATACACACTCAAACCTAGCTGGTGTACATACAGGCACTACCGATCTACAAAATACTAATCATAGAAGAATACAGCTATCTTATGAAGTGCTGGCCAGAGAACAACAGAGCTAGAAGGGCATTTTCTAGACCTTTTTAAAAAGATAAGGAAACTAAGGTATAGGAAAATAGAAAGATAAACTTATTTTTCAGAGTGTGCTAACCAGCTGTATGTGGACTAGTATAAGAACCTGGATCTCTAGTGAATCTAGTATCAACCACAGCACTTTTCAGTTCTATTTTCTATACCATCAAATTATTTAACATTTA